GCGCCGATGTGACTCTCGTGGACTTGATGTTCCTCCTCATCCAGCGCACCTTTGCTAACCGGGAGATGGGTTCAAGTGGTCTCAACAGCTTCATCGAATTCTTTTCTGGTTGTGGGAGCTGTTGTCCCGAGGATTGAGTGGCTGTGCTTTTGACACATGCTTTGATGCCTCCGGGGGAAAGGGTGCAGGCTATACTTCAATGCCCTGGGCACTTTACGTGAAAAGGGTCTATGCTGGCTTGGCACATGCAGCTCCTTTGTTGTTCTATGCCGCTCAGTGACCCAGCGTTCGGCAGTGAACCAGTACTATGGGGATGTGACCAAACGGTGTGTCTCTGAAGGTAACCGCATGTGCAGCCTCAGTGCCTTGTTGTTTTTCATGGCATGGATCACCCTATGCCGCCCTGTCATTGAGCAGCCGCTGAATAGTTGCTTGCCTAGCCTTCCGGCGACGAGGCACACGTTCTCCTGGATCAAAGCCTCCCGCACAGTGACATTCTTGGGGGCATTCAATGGGCCTTCTTGCAAACCTTTGCAGTTGTGGTCCACCAGCGCAGGGTGCACTTCCTTGCATCGGTGCAAGCCTGACATGGTGGGTGCAGAGCCACTGGTTGTACGGGGGGCGAGTGGGCAATTGGTGCATACACACCTGTCATTGACTGACTGACCACAGCTAGGGGTGAAGCTGTGATCAAAAATGTGTGCCTTTTGCAGTTCTCTTTTCTGGCTTGGAAAAGGCTTGGAACATGCACATTAGTTTCAGCATTGGGCGTCTTGTGCAGTATTGCATATTGTTGGTCTTTTTGTTTTGCCCTCACACAATGAAGCCCTGCTGCCAGGCCTGTCAGTGTGAAGGGCATGCTGGCTGATGGTCTTTTTCCATGTGACTGTGCGGAAAAGGTGTGTGCAGCAGGCAACATGCCCTTCACACACAAGAAGACACCCAAAGGACTGCTAGCTATTAGGTAGCCTGTGTAACTATACTGGGCATCGCTGACAATATTGTATTACTTGCTTTATACATGTCGCAAAAGAAATAAACAATCGAAGTGCAAAACAAGACCAGCAGGTAGTGAATCGTTTGTTGCCTATCTAACAAACCTCACTGATCTAAACCCCGCTGATCCAAACCCTAAAGCTGATTTGGTGACAAATCAAGCCGACATACAGGGATGCCAGTGGAGTGGTTGCTCAAGAGTTGGTGTTGCGTGCGCGCGCGTGCGTGCGTGCGTGCGCGCGTGCATGTGCGCGTGCGTGCGCGCATGAGTGCGTGAGTGCGCGCGCGTGTGTGTCTTTGTGTTGTGTATGTGTGTGTGGTGTGTGTGTGTGCGTTTGTGTGTGCGTGTGCTGTTCAACTCTTGCCACAGCAAGCCAAAGCAAATAATTCCGACGTGTGTGTGTGTGTCACACTTGCGCGAGTGAGAGCGTGTGTGCTAGCGCGGAGATCTGCGAAGTTTGCCCCTTTTGTGACTGATAAGCTTCGTTCGGTGTTGCGAGCTCTGTGCACTTGCGCGCGTGCGTGCGCGTGTGCTAGCGCGGATATCAGCAAAGTTTGCCCGTATGTGAGTGATAAGCTTCGGTGTTGCGAGCTTTCTGCAAGGGTTGCTCTGCGCAAGTGCTCGGCCCAAGTCTTCCGCGCAACTTGCTCTGCGTGCGCAAGCGCTCTGTGCAAGTTGCGATACGCAAGCGCTACGCGTCCGCTACGCACGAGTGCGCTGCGCCAGCTCGGGTCAAGTTTCCATGAGCAAGCTCTCCGACAGCCGGAGCTGCCGCGGACCAAGGGGGGGCTCGAACCCGCGACCGCGGGATTGCGAAAAAAGGCGCGCGAACCACGAGAACTTCCAAAGGCCATCTCGTGAGCAAGAAAGTCGCACGGCGTCACAGTGAGAGCGCCTCAACGCGCACGATCTCCGCAGAGAGTTCGCCAAGACTAAGACAAATTCGCGCGGGGCCACAGCGAGAGCGCTTTGACACACACGATCCCCGCAGAGGGTCGCGCGCGAACGTCCGCAGTTTTGCACTTCGACCACGCCAATCCACGCACTTGGATGGACGGACTACTTGCTATGTAGTTGGCGAACTTAAGCGACTTGCTATAAGCCACTTGCAAGTTGCCTAACTGACTTAGCAGACTTGCAACGTGGCTAAGTCCACTTGGCAGTTAGAGGACTTAGCTAACTACTTAGAACTGTTCAGCATCTACTTAGCTAAGTCCTATAACTCGCCAAGTGGACTTAGCCAGGTTGTAGCCAAGTCAGACTTAGCGAGCTTACTAACTCAAGTTAGGCAACTTGCAAGTAGCTTAGCAGACCGCCTAAGTTCGCCAATGACATAGCAAGTAGGCCGCCCATCCAAGCAGAGGGTCATCGCGCAAATCAGAAGATGTGAAAAGTCCGCAGTTTTTGCACGTCGCCACGCCAATCCACGCAGAGGGTCGTGCGCGCACCTCGGAAACCGTGAAAAGTCCGCAGTTTTTGCACATCAACCACGCCAGTCCACGCAGCGGGTCGCGCGCGAACCGCAGAAATCGTAAGAAGTCCGCAGTTTTTGCACATCGACCACGCCGATCCACGCAGAGGGTCGCGTGCGCAAATCAGAAATCTTAAGAAGTCCGCAGTTTTTGCACATCAACCACGCCAATCCCCGCAGAGGGTGTCATTTTCGCAGGGTGGGTTCGGTCCCACCGCTCCGCCTTAAGAGACTAACTAGTTATAGTTGTCTCTTGACCGAAGGGTAGTGCCTCTTGGGATCCAAGTGCTTCAGGGAGTCGACCAGCGTACTTCAGAGTTAAATGGAACCTTCGGCGTGCTGCTTGGGTGTCCGCGCAGATGCTGCTCCGCTCGGTGAGTCGTTCGGTCTAGAGCGGAATGGGCTGTTGCCATATGAGTCCATGACCTTCGCGATGTTGTTTTCAGATCGCAGGTGGGAGCCTGTCCTGAAAGACTCCTGATGAGATACTGACCTGATGGACGACGCAGATCCTCTATCTGTATCTTGCGCTGTGGGGTGTTTTCTTTTGCGGGCCTCTATCGCCGTAGTTGGAGACTTTCTCTCTGGAGAAGTCTCTGACAAAGTCTTCTGTGGGTTTGTGGTTGCGGGTGGTGTACTTGCAATAGGGCAGGGGCATCCACCGTATCGTCAAACCTGTGCTGGGGGAGCCTGCGCAACCATGGTTGATTCGCTTTGGACTGAAGATCACCCTTCGTCACTTCCTTGCAGAGTAAGCAGGTACTCGCCCATGGCTCCACAGCCACTTGAATCTCAGCTACACTTCTGCCATCTTCTGGCCGACGCGTTGCCTGAGAGGAAATCCATTCTTGACGCACCATAAAAAGTTATCAGAGACCGACGTAGAGGGCTCGACCTGTCGGTATTGAACCCCTTGTTGTGGCAGCAGGCTGCTTGTCCTTTTCCAGTCCGGGGGCAACAATCATGATGTTCGCTTGTCTTCCTTTCGGGATTGACTCGAAATATGTAAAGAAGGAATCTGCCATGCGAACACGAGCTCTTCTATTCCCATGAAAGCCGTACCCTGCCTTCAGGCGGCTGGCCTTGATCAGCCCATTGCCCGCGGTTAGCATGGGCCAGGGGCGAATCAAAGGCTGTGCTGAGAATGGCCTGGATGGTGCATCGTGTTCATAGTATTCTCGAATCTTCCTTCTTTCTTCCTGCCCAGGGAGGCTGAAGCCCTTCTTGACTATTGTCCGTCCAATCTTGCCATTCCTCTCAAGATTGTCAAGATTGTGCTACCGATTCGCGGCGACCTGATAGTTTGGTGGCAGATAGCTCATCTACCGATGTGAAGTAAAGATCTCATCTCTGTTTTTGCGTTCAGCATAGATTGCACCGTGTCTTGGAAAACGGATGCCAGTTTAATTCTTGTCTTAGTGTGTTCGGAAAGAAGTCATCATTCAGATGCTGGGATTTCTCCACGCAAGATGGGCGCGCTGTCGGGAGAGACTCGAGGAGGTTGTAGAGCTCACGTGGTCCATCTGTTGCAACACCCACACCGAGCTTGTTTGATCTGTGGCGGAGTTCTTGTGTCAACATCCAGCTGACTCGCTTCCACTCTCCATAGGACCAAGGAAGCATGCCGTTCACTGAGCTCTCGCACGGTTGCTCCGTCTGATTCATGTCGGGCGGTATGTACCGAGGTTGTAGGCTGATCCTCTATGTTGCAGCGCGTGGGGTGTAGGAAGGTTGCTGGGCTTTGAGGTCATGGCGGCACCCCTCGGTGATCAATTTGCATTCTCGGTAGGACCCGTAGATCCCTTGTCCTTGTGTGGTCTTCCCTTCCAGCCTGGTCTCTATCTTGCCCTACGTTGTGGAGCATTCTCCCTGAGTGAGATGCTTTCCTGGCTTCGACAGGGTTTCTGTGATGGTGATGAATGACCTTCCTTTTCGTTTGCCGCTTTTCAAAATCTGCCCTGACGACGGCAAATGCATCGTGAACTTCGAGAAAATACCTTCGCCGAAGCCCTCGTTGCCTTCCTCATCTTCCTCATCTTCAACCCAGTATCCATCTTCGCCTTGGTATTCTGCACTCAGGCATGCTACGCATGAGCATTGTGCCATATATTTGCGGTCATCATGGACCGCTGGGGGGGGGGCCACAGGCAGCATAAAAAGAGGGCTCTGGTTGAATAGTCTCCCTTAACACCAGTTCTTGATAATGGCTCGCATTTCCCGGCGTCCCTTTGTTTATTTTTGGGGTTGGTTATCTTTTTTTGGTTTGGGGGTGTTTTTGTTTGTTTCCCGTTTGCTTTTAGCCTATGAAGCGCAATGGAAAACCCTCCAACATGGTTTTGCGGAATGCAACCATGCCGGGGGCCCACCCACATGGCCCTTATTGTGGTTGCGCCCACCCAGGAAATTTTGATACCCATTCAAGTGTCAACTGGTTGCTCTACCTTGGTAAGCCGGTGGCACCGCCTTACATCTTGTCTTTGCTTTGTTCAGAACGGTTGTAGATAGATTTTGTACATCCAAGTTATGACCCAGGCGGCCAGCTTCGCGAACGCTAGCGCTTTAGCTTGTGCCTGGGAAAACTACCAGCGCAAAGCCAAGCGGGAGGCTTGGCGGCACGGCAAACCTTGTTTTTAAGGTTGTTCGGGGCTCAGGACCCAACTGAGCTTCAAGCGATGCAACTACTCCCAAGAGAGGGGGAATCGCACTGCTGTTTGGCTGTACTCGGGGCCCAGGAGTCAGCCAACCAGCGCCATCCATCACCAATTCGTGCGCGCTCGAGGTTGGGCACTGGTCCCCGCGTTCCAAGCTGGCCGTTGCTGATGGCTTTGGATTTCAGGAGGCCTTTTCAGAGTTGTTCCTTGGCCGTAATTTCACTTCACCGGGGGCGAAGGGCCAGCAGGTCGGGGTTTTTTGAGGCATGCCTCATTCACGTGTGTTTGTGGCTTTGTGGGAAGGAATGAAATTATACATTAACGGGTGGGATTTGTATTTTTCCCCATGCTCTTTCCGAGCTTCCCCTCGCGTCCAGCTGCTCTTATTTGAGTGAGGCCTAGCACCGGCAGCGCCATTGCGCTCTATGCGGCTCATGACTCAAGCATCGCCATCAGCTGCTTGGCGTTGTGCTTCCTGGAATCACACCTAAACAGGGGAATCCCCCTTTATATGAAGAAAATAGTCTTTGGGAAGCCCTTTGTGTTGTGTCACAGAAATGATCATTTCCCACAACCCTGCACGAAAAAACCCTGAAGTAGGCACTTTGCAAAAGAAACCTGGCTGTTCTGGACAACGTGCATTGTTCTGCATGGCTGCAAGGTGTACTTCTGAGAGATAGTTCTCGTTTGACCCGTGGGCTGACGGGCTGCGCCGAGAAAAGCCTGTGTAACGCGTAACTGCTCGCACGCCATGCAGCTCTTGTCAAGACTCAGACGATTTCCTCGGCTGGCCTTAGGCCTGGATGGGCGGATTCTGTGCGTCCTCGAGTTGGAGCGTTTGTTCGGGGTGCGCTACTTTTGGCCGCCCTTGGAGGTGGAACGCGACTGGCTGCCGCACTTGGCACACAGATGCTCTTGCGTGTTAGGTGATCAACGTTTTGCGCGGCTAAAGCGGACAATGCAAATCAAACGGCAAGCCGGTTCAAGAAGGTAAAGAGGGCCAAATGGGTTTTTTTTGAAGCGCCATCTTGAGCAGACACCTGCTTTGAAAAGGACCGGGTTTTTGCCTGCCAGGCCTCTAGAGGCATTTGGCTGCAAGCCCTCCATGCAGTGCGGCAGCGCTGTTCATGCGAGTCATTGCCAGCAAGACTTTCGGCTGCAGGTTCAAGTTGTTCCTTTTGGTGCCAGTTCTTCTCCGAGCATTTGCTGATGCAACTTGTTTTTGCGCAAGTGACTTTTGTTCTTTCGGTTGTTCTTCTTGTGTGAGTGGTCTGTTTGGTAAAAGTTGTCAGGTGAGATTTCAGCAGGTTATTTTGGTGCAAGTTGTTCTGTTCCTGCAAGTTGTTCTGCGCGTGCCTTTGCATTGTTCGATTTGGGGCAGTGTGGCTTTGGCCTTTTCTTTCGGCGCAAGCTATGTTTTGGTACAATTTGTCCTTTGCATTGTTCGTTTGGTGGTGCAAGCTGTCCTTGAGTTGTCTGTTTTGGTACAAGTTAAAGTTACCCTTTGAGTTGTTGCAAGGGTGAGCGAGCCTCTGATTTGTTCCTTCTAGCAGCAGTTGTCCTTTCAGTCTGCTCTTTTGGCACAAGTTGTAGCATAAGAACCTAAGCCGGCTTTTCGTGTGATTTTTTCTCTTTTCTCTATCCTCTAGTGCTTTTCTATTGCTCCTCTAGTGCTCCTCTAGTCCTCCTCTAGTGATCCTTTAGTGACACTGATCCTCTAGTGCTCCGCCAGTGATCGTCCTCCAGTGATCATCTAGCGCTCCTCTAAAGATTCTCCAGTGATCCGCTAGTGATACTTTAGTAAGCTAATTTGTGACCTGTTGGCGCATTCCTCTTGTGCGCCTCTAGTGATCCTCTCCTCTAGTGCTCCTCCTCTAAAGTGCTCTAGCAATCTTCATTGATCAACTAGTCCTCCTCTCGTGATCTTCAAGTGATCCTTTGAGGGATCTTTAGTGTTTTTTCTAGTGATCATCCCGTGATCCTCCAGTAGTGCTGTAGTGATCCCCTGATCATTCGACACTCTTTTAGTGCTGACACCCTAGTACTAGTTTAATGCACCTGGCCACAACTCCCTGAAAATCCTCACTTGTAGCGCGCCTCTACTGATCGCGCTAGTGGTACTTCTGCTCAGTGATTTTCTGGTGCTCCTCTAGCGCATGCCCTCTAGTGATCTTCCAGTGACCTTCATTGATACTCCAGTCATGTGCTTTTCTAGTGATCTTCTAGCCTTCAGGAGTGCTCCTCTTCTAGTGATCCTTCAATGGCCCTCTAGTCATCCTCTAGTGGTTTTCTACTGCTCCTCTGGTGCTACTCTAGTGCTACTAGTGATCATTCGGTGCTCCTTTATCATTCAGTCTTCGTCGGGTGCATTTTTAGTGCTCTTCTAGTGTTACCTACTCTCCAACCCGCAACATGCTTTTCCTTCCCTGGCAGCCTTCAACCCTCTAGTGCTCCACTGCTCCTTTAGTAGCCTACCCAACTTAGCCCAAAGCTGGCCCACCGTGGAAGCCTAAACTTAACCCGAAACCAACCCGAAATGAAACCAATCCTCAACCAACCCTACCAATCCTCAACCAACCCTCAGCCAGCCAACCCTACACCAACCCAAACCTAGCCTACCCTGACCTTCGCACCACTCCCAGCGTAAAACTTAAGCTTTTCCTTAAACCCTAGGCCAACCCCAAACCAATCCAAACCAACCTGAACCACCAAAAGCTGGCCCACCCTGGCCCGGAGCATTGGAGGAGCACTAGAGCCACCCTCACTCAGCCCAAAGCTGCCGGTCCTGGAACCCTAAACCCAGCGTTTCTCCCGCGCCAGCTTTGGTTTGTTTAGGGTTGGCTGAGGGTTGGGGGATTTGTTTGCTCGGGCTTGTTTAAAGGTTGTCTTAGGGCTGGTTCGGGGCGTGGTGCTTCTCTAGTGCTGGTCGGGGCGGGCTAGCTTCAGGGTTGGTTTTGGGTTGATTGGCTGAGGGCTGGCTGAGGGTCGGTTGAGGATTTGTTTAAAACTGGTTTATGGCTTTGGGTTGAAATACCCTACTAAAGGAGCTGTGGAAGGGCTGGTCTGCAAGGGTTGGATTAGCTTGTTGCGCAATAACGAAGGAGTGGGCGCAGACTGAATGAGCGCTCGCGGAACACCAGAAAAAGCAATGGCTTGCTTTTTGGTTGGCTTCGAGTTGGTTGAGGGCTTTTTTCGGGTTGGTCTAGGGCTGGGCTGTCTTTCAGAGGCTGGAAGATGGAGTACTGATCATTCGAGGAGCACTGAAGGAGCAACGGAAAAGCACTGGCAGAGTTGGAGCCAGATTTTCACTAAACCATCAAACAGAGGATCGCTGGATGAGCACTCGAGGAGCACTGGCGGAGCAGGGTGTACGATCACTGTTGCACTGGGCTGGCTGCAAGTTCGATTTTTTAGCATTTTTTAGAGGTTGTGGCTAGCCAAGCTCCGGAGGAGAGCGCTGAAAGAAGACAAGCGTAGTTTGGTTGAGGGCTGAGAGGCTTGGTTTGGGATTGGTTTAGCGTTGGTTTGATTGGTTCAGGGTTGGTTGGTTGAGGGCTGGCTGTGGGTTGGTTGAGGATAGGTTTAGGGTTTCGGGGCTCTAGTAGGGTTGCTCTGGTTGAGGGCTGGCTGGTCAGGGTTGGGTGCTAGAGGGCTGGCTGGTTAGTGCTATCCAGGCTGGCTTTGGTTGGGTACTTTGTGAGTGGTGCGGAGGTCAGGGTAGGCCAGCTTTGGGTTGGTTTGGGGTTGGCTGGCGTTGAGGATTTTCTGGGCTTCAGAAGCTGGCACTGAAAGAGTACTCGAGAAGTGACTAGAAGTTTAGGGTTCAAGGTTAGGTTTAGGTTCCGGGGTGGATTTCAGTGCTCCTCCGGCGGGCTCTAATCCTTCTCTAGTGCTCCGGGCATCGGTTTAGGGTTGTGCCCTAACACCAAAACTACCCTTAAAAACCAACGCAAGCCAACCTTAACTACGAAAAGCTGGCCAACCCTGGCCCGAAGCATTGGAGTCCCGCCCTGAACCTAAAACTGAACCTTAAACCATAAACCATGAACCAATCCTAAACTACCACCCAACACCAACCCTAAAGACCAACCCTAAAGCTAGGCCGAGGAGCACTAGAGCCCCGTCTAGACTTAAAACCAACTCCTCAAGCACTCTTGCAGCGCGGCTGGCCACGGCCGTTGAAAAGAGCAGAGAACCAACCGCCAAGAAAAAGCCTAAACCAGCCCAGCCCTAAACCAACCCTAACAGAAGCCTTCAGCCAACCCAAAGCGCGCCCAGCCCCCAGCCACCTTCCTCGAGCGCCCTGGAAACTTAAATTTACTTTAAATCAACTCTAAACCAATCTTAAACCAGCACTAAATCAACAAACATCCAACCACACAACCAATCGTAAACGAGCCCAAAGCTAGCCCACCCTGATGCCGGAGCACTAGAGAAGGACCAGAACTTGACCTTAAACCGTAGGGTGGTTCTATACGGTTGGGCAGGCTACTCCAGGAGCAGTGGTCAGGGCGCAAGGGTTGGATTAGTTTGATTCACCGAAAAAGCAATGACTAGTTGGGTTGGCTTCGGGTTGGCTGAAAGCTTCCTTTAGGGTTGGTTGATGGCTGGGGCTGGCTTAAGGTGAAAGATTTGTGTGCTTTTTCAACAAAACAATCAATTAGAGGATCACTGGATGAGCGCTTGGGGGGCAGTGTGCATGATCACTCAAACAGGAAAAGCAAAAATTGGGGCGGCCGCAAGTTCGATTTTTTCTAGCTATGAGAGGTCACTGGAGGAGCACTAATTTCAGAGGATCATAGCATAAGCACCCACGGAGCATTCGGCCTCTGTTTGGGCTGAGAATCGCTAGAGGAGCACTGGAGCCTCACTGAAGAATCGCTAGGAGCACCACCAGGTGATGACTGCTTGAGCACTCATGGAGCACTAGAGGAGAAGCTTTTTCAGAGGTTGTGGCCAGCACATGCGTGTTGCTGCGGGTTGGTTGGGGCTTGGTTTGGGGATGTTTTGGGTTGGCTTAAGGTTAAGTTTAAGTTTTAGGGTGCGGCGGTCAAGGGGCTAGCTTTAGAGTTGGTTTAGGGTTGGTTGGTTGAGGCCTGGCTGAGAGTTGGTTGAGAATAGGCTTAAAGAGTTGCGGCTTTAGTAGGGTGGGTTCGGTTGAGGATTGGTTTGGGGCTCGCTTTGGGTTGGTTAGGGTTGGTTGGCTGAGGGCTGGCTTGGGTTTGGTTGAGGAAAGGTTTCAAGATGGGGCTCGATGGTTTAGGATTAGTTGGTTGGTTGAGGGCTGGTTGAGTTGGTTTAGGATTGATTCAGGGCTGGCTTAAGAAAGTTTAGTTGGTTGGCTGAGGGTTGGTTGAGGATTGGCTTCAGGCTTTTTTGGCGTTGGTTAAGGTTAGTGTTGGGGTTAAGTTTGGGCTTTAGTGGCTGCGGTCTTTGCTGGCTGGCTTTAAGCTGGTTTAGGGTTGGTTGGCTGAAAAAGGACTAGAGAAGACTGGAAGTTTAGGGTGGGTTTAGGTTTGGGTTTTTGGGTGGGCCTCTCATGGTTTGGTTTGGTTGCGGGCTGGCGGGGTGGTTGGGGTTGAAAGCATAGGAAGCCATTGTTGCTGGTATTTACAGGGGAACCATTATTGCAGGGTTTCCTTGGTGGTGCAGGATTTCGTCCATCCACAGTAGGGGTAAGAGAATGCTAAAGGAATAGAAAATATTAAGTGGAATGCTTGGGGTTATGGGAATATCAGGGAAGTATTGTGACTATTAGGAGCATACTAGGGGAACAAGTACAAGGCTGAAGTGAGGGCAAAGCGAAAGTCCAACCCATATGTGTGCGGCAAGTGACCGTCTTAAAATACGTAGGCTTGTCCTATTGCTATAGGAGTTTTGTGGTCTGTACTCCAGACGTGAGTAGCTTAGAGGTGGTGCATACTCCAGAACAAAGATATGCGCAAAAAGTGCGACTTTACCTAGTCCTCAGCCATGTTGTGCCAGAAAACACTGTAAAACACAGTGTTTTGTAGCATTTTTCATGTTAAAATCACATCCCCACCAATAAAGGTTTGGAAAAGGGAGAGGCTTAGATTTTAGGATGGGCGCTACGGCGGGGTTGGTTTAGGGCTGGTTGAAAGAAACCAGCCCTCACTCAGAGTTACTTAGACCAAAGCTGGCCCGCCCTGGACACCTAAACCAGCCCTAAACCAGCCCAGCTAGAGAAGCGCTAGAGCCACCCCAAAACCTGAACTTCCCTAAGCCCCGAACCAGTTCTTTTCTTGGTCTTTAAGGGCTAAACATTTTGATCGGGGAAGCCCGGCCCTTCCCCATCCTCCAAACGTGCGCCTGCGCGGTGTGTTGGCGCGCCACTCTTCTCCCCTTTTTCTGGGTTCTGAAGAAAACTGGGCGTGCGCCTTTTTCTCGAAACAGGTAAAAATTCGATGTGTTTTCGTTTCTCGCCGCTTGCTATGTGATAAATCGGTCTTTCTTCGAAGCTCCAAATGGCCAACTCTTTTTTACTGTGCGCCAAAATGTGTCAATGTGTAAAGAACTGCATCTTCCAGGACCGGCCCCGAAATGTTGCTCTAGGCTTTGCCAGGCAAATATCATTTTTCAACCAATTGTTTTCTCTTCGACGCCAAAACGGGAAAACCACCACGGCTTGGGTCCCCAAGCCTTCTTCTGACACAGGTTGCGCTTTGAATTGCTGATTTGTTCTTTGTGGCAAGTTGGGTTGCAATTTTGGGGCAGCCTGCCCCTTGGGTCTTGCGAGCTCATTCTTTGAGTTGTTCTTTTGGAAGAGCTGCTCTTTTTCATTTGCTTTGCCATTTTGATTCCGGGCAGCCGCTTTGAAAAGAAGGCTCCCAAAAACAGCATTCTCAAAGCAGCCTTATGTTTGGCTTCAATCTGTTGAAGTGCAACCGTTTCAGGAGGAAGCAGGCTGGTAAAAAACCTGTCGTGGTTGGTGCTTCTATTGTTGGCTGGGGGAGGGGGGGGCGGGGGCGGGGGGAGGAATGCCATCGCTGTGAAAGGCTTGCGTGCGCGCGCGAACACACATGCCAGTGCACACAGGTTGGCGCACGGCCAATGTTGGTTGCAGATGCTGGCAAAAAGTGTCTGGAAAGCACTATGTCCATCCCAGCAAACATGAGCTTGCTAGAAGAGTCTCTGTGACGAGGGGAGCGCGCGACCGACCCCGCTTGATTCATAGTGGGGACTCCAATGTATAGATGCGTGGTGGCAATCGTTGCAAGACTTTTACCAAATCAGCTTCGCTCGAATGTGTTTCGCTACATGCGTAGCTCCGTTTGGAGGTATCAGCGGATTTCTGTTACGCGTTGGCTGCTGCTTGTTGGTTCAAATTTTCGAGCAATTGAACTGCAATGCTTTTTGGTCGCGTTCACTGCCAAGCACGAGCCAGAGACGACGAATTGCAGAAAAGCAAGAAGAAAACGTGTGCTTGGCCTGCGGCTTTGCAGGTTTTGACTACGGAGCAGTGGTCCTCTTTTCCGGGGACCCCTTCACAGACCGGCTCGAGTACAGTCGCCTGCCGCTGATTGTCCAAGAGGCGCAGCGTGCTTGAGCGCCAGACATGTGCGTTGAGATCAGGACATGAACAGAAAGGTGGCTTTCAATTTGCTTGACATTGCAGCCAAGCCGTGCCCGAAAGCGAGAAGCTCGCCTGGAAAATGCAAGACGCCACCCGGATAGTCCCGACCCGTTACGCCGTGCGTTTTCGGCAAATCACTGCCCCGGATGTGGGGTTTCGTATGATATCGTTTTTCTGCTGGGTCGCCGAAAAAAGCACGGAATCTCTGTTAGATACTAATTTTGACCTACGACTTTCAGCGACAATAGAAGGTGAGGGGTCCGAGGTTTACACTTGCTGACAGATGTTGGTTTCAGATGACAGCAACCCCTCATGGAGAACACCATGTCGCCGCTCGAAGGGAAGGCTGCCAAGTGTGTGTTGATAAAAGTCTCCCGCACCTTCCTTCTTCACACACGTGTTCAGCAACGTTGCTTAAAAGTTGGAGGCGTCCGAACTTCGTGTCAGGTCTTTGCAGTGAGGCAGTGGCGTCTTGTCGACCACCATGAAGCCCACGCCCGCATGGGTTTCTACTCGTCGCCATTCACCTCTGCAATGGTGGTGAGCTACGACGGCGGCGGCAATGATGGTGTCGCGGGGCATGGTTCTTTCCTTCCATCAGTGGGGACGTGCTGTGGCGCGCGTCTACTCTTAAGCCGGTTCCCACTATCTTTGCTTAGTTTGTTAATTTGCAATTCGCTTGCGGTTAAGTTTTTTGCTAGCTAGTTGGCGAATTGGCTCGTCCAGGCTGCGAGTTCGCGAGTTCGCTTGGTAGCCACTTAGGTTAGCTAGCTGGCCAGGCAGAGTTAGCAGACTAGTTGGCGTGTTAGCTACCTAGCAAGCTGGTCAAGGTCAGTTCGCTCGATGGTTAGCTAGTCGTTTCTTCTTTGATAGCGGCAGCTTGTTTGCCAGTGCAAAACACCCAAGCAACGAAATCTGACAGTAAGCCACCCCAGAGAATGTGGAGGGCGCTGCACAATGCGAAAGGCACAAGTTTTGATAGCCAGAAAGTTCACGGAGCTTCTGCGAGCGGAGTGCAACATTGCAAAACGCGCGGAGCGTTTGAGGGCCGAACCTGCGAAAGTCCACAGAGTGTTCAATCAATGCGCAACAGCGTGCGGTCTTGCCCTTGGGGTCTGTCAAGCGTCGCAGCCACGGTGGTTTGCACCCTTGTCAAGGAGCCGACTTCACACGCGGGGCCACACTTCTATACTCATGTTCTTGAGTTCTTTCAAGGAAGGCGGCAAAGCTTAGTGGAAGCAGCGCCATCACTAATAAGCACGCTTTGGCCTTGGCTTGCATAGAATCTTTGACTGGGCCTAGTCTTGCATTCACGCGAATACGGGCAGCCCACACCCGTGGCCAGGTGTTTTCAACGTCTACCTGGGCCAAGGCAAAAGGCTCTTTCGTCTTGGCAAGCTGGGCGTCGACATGGGTGTGAGCTGCTTTGATGAAGGCTGCCGCTTGAGAATCAAACCCGAAGTCTTGGCCACTGTTCTCTATTTCACCTAGTCGCATCCTTGGCTTATCGAGGTTTCGCGCGCGGAAAGCCAGCAGGCAGGTTTTGACGACATTAGTGCTTTGCCTGAGCTGATCTGAGGATACAAGACGCTGGGGGCCATGATGCGGCTTGACTGCACATACGTCACGTTGGTTTGTCTTCTTCTGCTTTCGTTGCCAAAAAAGGCTTTGCTCGTGTTTGGTGACAGATTGTGGGGAGTTGACGGCCGCGAGCCCCAAAAGAATTTCACACTTGGACAGCCGGTGTGGGGCTCGCCGGGCTTGGGCTGTTTTGCGACGCTGCCGTTGCGCATTGCTGTTTGACGAGCTGGCTTGGGGGGGGGGGGGGCCAATATTTGCGAACAAACCTGTCTCAGGTTTTCTTGGGGAGGGCGGGGCGGGGGGGGGGGGGGGGCTTGTTGAGGTTGGTTTGAAGATAACACCAATTATTTAAACCCGAGAGTCATGCTTTGACAAGCCTCAAAAAGCAGTAGCGGCAAGGGCGCGCGGTCACGCGCGCTCCCTGCGCGTGCGTGCGGCGTGCGCGCGGCGCGCAACCAGCGTGCAATGAGTGAGCCGTGCGCGGCGGCGCGCGGGATGCGCGTGGTGAGCGCGCAACGAGCGAGCGACGCGCGAGCCGCGGGCGGCAGCGCGAGCGAATCCGAAACTCTGAGGCTGGTTCATGGCGTTTGCTTTGCTTTGAACAGCTGCTAAGAGCTCGAGCCACACGCAATCAGTAGCGAGACCGACGCAAGATGAGGGCATCGCTCGGGCTCAAAGACAGAAGCACGCGAAGCAGAGTAGCCCAGGCTCCACACCTAAGATGTTGCAAGTTCAGGGTGACGCGTAGCACAACCCATCCAAACATCGGGTGACATGTGTTAAGTTGCAGGTTCCAACCAGCACTACCAGTCGCAAGCGCACGTTGTTGATCAGTGAGTCAAATGACTACATAGCTCAATAATCTGCAAGTCACAGCTGCTCCACCCATAGTGTTGTCATCTCAGAGTTGGTGTGATGTCCAGATTTTCATTTAGCCATGAATCAGAAAGAAAAAAGGATCAGGAGCGTAACTCACCCTGATGACACGCGCGCGCGCGCCCGTGGCAGTTTTTGCCCAAGTTGTCTTCGGAAACCAGATCAGGAGTGGATTGATATGAGTTTGAGACGCGCAGGCCTCTGCGCTGGTCATGTGAAATAGGAGGCTTGCGCAGCTAAAGCAGCCGTCCACGAAGCAGGCCACGACTGTTCAGGGCACAAGCCAGCACCTGACTCCTGAAATGTCTTTCACCGCCACTCTTTCTTTCTGCAACAAACCCTGGTCTTCGGTAGCCGCCGCGGTGGCTCCTATGGTGCACCGGGTGTACGCGTGTGAGATCTGAGAGGCTGAGAAGCACCTGTGAACATGTGGGAACGGAATAGTCGACTGCTTCCACCTTCATCTCAACTTTAAGGAAACTTCACTTTTGACTCTTGACGGTCTAAGAATGAAATCTAAACAAGCCCCCCTTGCGAGATTGCGGGCGTGTTTCATTGATGAAAAGGGCCCTCACAAACAATGTCATGGAACGCAATGTGGCGCTACTTGACCTGCGTTGCACTGACTCATCCTTGACCAGTGTCAGTGTCACGCATGACATGATTAATCGCCCAGAATTGTTGGGAGGGACCGCCGCACGGTGGTTCCGGTCAGCCAGTCCCATTGGGTTGCTCAACATCATGAATCGCATGAGTCACGATGACTAACGGTGTCCGTAGGGCGGGGCGAAGGGTTTCCCCTAGTTGTAGGATTCAGACTCGGCTGAGTTTGGGCAACCCAGGAATACTAGATGACTGTGCGCAAGTCGGATCTGCGATGCAGCGAATCAGCCCGCCGATTATTCTTGCCGCCTTTCCGCTTGCTGTGGCTCACGCGCTAGAATGTTGCCCCGGCCGAGTGATGATACGAGTGGTAGATTGCGAGATGTGTTGTTCGAAGTTTTGACTGCCCCTTGCACGGCAGCATTGTTCCAATCACCTGGCTTTGCAGGCATGAGTCATCAAATGCGCGCCAGCCATCAGCAGCTGAAGTTCAACGACAGCGACCCCTAGATAGATGAGGCAAAAACCCAAGGCCTAAGATTGAAAATGCGGCAACATATGTAGCTGAAACCAGCCACAACCGGGTGCAATGCTTTGTCCAGTCATTGCGCAGATACAGATTGTCAGTGTGGTTTGTTGTTTCAAATTGTTTGCCTGGCGGTTGCCTGATTGGCAGTTGGCACCACACTTGTTGCGTTACGCAAGCAAAGCGCGTGTCTGAGTGGGAACTAGACAGCAGACTTGATGAACAAATGCGCTTGACTCACGCACTGTGGACCAGCGCCTGCTGCGGCAGCAGGCGCTGGTTCTTCAACAAGTTTAGCTTGCGCAAGAAACCCTGCGTCATGATTAGTTGACTTGATGAAACATTGATAGGAAGTAATACGTACCATGAGGTAAAGTAAGAAGCCCGCCCAAAAACTCCCAAACATGTTCTCAATTTGTTTCCACACTTCCGCAGATGGACGACTATTGCGCTAGCCCAGTCTGAAACTTGCAGAATCAACACGTGAAGCGTGAGCAGCAGCAACCGGCTTTGCTGACTTGAGTGTTGATTTGGCAACGCCGTGTGCCTGGTTCATGACAGACCATACGATGCAGTATAGCGCAAGTACAAGCTACAAATTACCAGGGTGCAAGTATTCGGGCCAAATAAACCACCCGCCGAATAGTGCTGGAGGTTGCGTTTAGCTCTGTGTCGGTGACAGACTGGCGCCCGCGCATCAATAGCTAGCACGCGCTTTAAGGCCGATGCAGCAGCGTGTCAAGCTCATATTTCTGGCGACACGGCGTGTTGAAGAAAGAAACTCAAAGTTGTGCTGCCGTCAGCTGGTCTGGCCCTTTCGCTAAAAACACAAAATGCATACGTGCCCATGGACACGCCTCGTCTGCAACCTCGCTCAGCGAACGAGTGTGTCGCGCGCACGCGCAAGCAACGTGCTGCGTGTGTGTGTGTGCTCGTTGGGCGCGCGCGCGCAAGCCACACGCGCGCGCACGCGCGCCGTACGCACACACACACACACACACTGCGGCGCGCTGTCCGACACCGGAACGAGTCGTACGTGCGGACTGTTGCGCAAAAAGTGTGCGCCGAAATCTGCTGTTTTCTTTGTCAAAATCTGCTGCGTTCTCTTTAAAAATCTGCTGTGTTCTCGGTGGCCGTACGGTACGGCGCGCAGACGAATTGTACGTACGTACAGCGCGCGCGTACAGTGTGTAGTGCAGCGCACGCGCGGGGCACCTGTGCAGAGCACGCAGCGTTTCCGGCCCGAAGCAGGTCGCTGGCAAGTATGCCGAAAATTTGCGATTCGCAACCCCCTGGAAATCTGCCGCTAAACTTCAATTTATTCAAAGCGCGCTACTGCGTGAAAACTGGCATTGCCCTTGCGACTGGCTAGGCCAGGCGCTTTTTTGGGCGCTTGCGCGATGGGAGCCAGAGTTCCTTGAATGCGTTAGGGGGAACGGCGATGTTGACTCCAAGCGCCCGCCAACGACAAAGCCATTGCAAACATCCTGGTGGAAGCGGGTGAATCCCCGAGCAGTTCATTTACCCACTGGCCCAATTTCAAAATCCGCGACCCCTTTGCAAAAGCCAAGTTAGTCTCTGCAAAGGGGCGAGGCGTGTTCTAAGTGGTGGTTAGGGGGAGTCTGACTGCTCGGAGACTTTGACGGCGTCGTGGAAGCTGTTAGTAGTCCAATCAGTTTCTGTCCACCTTCCCGGATTCCAGGAGTGCTGGATGAGAACCTTCATGTCCTCAGTGAACTCTTGCGCATCTTCGCCAGCTTGCCATCTCCAGGCAGGGCTCGCTATCTGAACGCAATGAGCATTCTTCACCTTTAATCAACTAAGACACACATAAAGGTGGCCTCCATGAGCAACGTGTCGCACAATGTCACTTCTCAAGATCAGTCTATGACCGATGTGGAAGGGGCCTGCTTTTACTGTTTTCTGGCGCGACTTAGACATCAAAAGCAAGCGCAGAGGGTCGCGCGAGAGCCTCAACATCGGCGACGCCAACCTCCGCAGGGCGGCATTTTCGCAGAGCGGGTTCCGTCCCACCGCGCTGCCTGAAGAAATTTACTAACTTTACTTTCGTGCGCGCATGTCTCGCGCGAGCTTCCTCGCCCTGGTTGGCTCGCACAGGTTTGGCTGCGCTAGCTTTCTCGTGTAAGTTCGCGCGTGCAAGTTTGGCTGCGTGAGCTTTCTCGTGCAAGTTAGCTCGTGCAAGCTTGGCGGTGCGAAACATTCTCGTGCAAGTTGGCTCGCGCAAGTTTGGCTGCGCGATCTTTCTCGCGCAAGTTACCTCGTGCAAGCTTGGCGGTGCGATTTTTCGTGCAAGTTGGATAAGGCTGCCAATTCTGAAGAAACCTTCGCAATGCGTTTGGCACAAGGCCCGTAGTGCGAACCTTGCGGGCCAGGCCCCTGCCATCAAATTTGCACTGCTTCAAAAAAACGCGTTTGGCGGGAGGCTTCCTGGAAAAACATAGTGCGAGCCCAGAACTGCCGCCCCTGCCAGCAAAAGCCACAAATGCGCACCACAGCGAGAGCGCACCGCCAGCGCAAACCCAAATCTCAGATGAGATCGCTGCATCGAGCCTGAACCCTCGAACTCTCTTACCTCCAAGGAAACAGCTGTTTCCGAAAAAGGAGTGTAAATGGAATGGAAAAACGGGCTCCCTAATACGGTTCGGGTTGGGGTCGCGAAGACTTGAAATAATGCTTTGCTAAATTTTGTCTTCCCGGCCGTGGGACTTTGGAAAAACGCCGATTTCAGCCGTGGGATTTTGGAAAGCCGATTATTAGGGGACCTGCGTTATAAGGAAGAAGGGATTCGCCCCCCTGACCAATGTAGCCTGGACCCCAAAAGGAAAAAGATAAGAACCCGACAAGCACAACAAGTTTGACACTTGACCCTTTGCAGCCATGTTTTGTAGAACAATGGCATTTCATTGAGAAAAGGCAATTTTACAAAAATGCATTTGTACAAGAAACGCTACATTTGCAAGTATAGCGGGCGGTCATTTAAAAATGCAAGCAAGGGGGCCCAAAAGTGGCACAGGAAACATAACTACTCTCCCTCCAACCCGTCCAAACCTCAGGTCACAAGCCCAGTTTGGCGCTGGCCAAGGAGCCGTAGGTGTTGCGCCACACAACCAGCCGCTTTTCCCTCAGACCATCTACGTGTACTTATCCTCCTGTTCAGGCAATACCCAATATCTCTTTCAGGTGCATGGGCACGACTCTGGCACCTGCATGGAATCCTGAAACCAGGCAGTGACCCAATCCCACCCACGGGTAGACAGTGGCCCAGCATGCAGAAGTCGAAACCTTTCTGCAACCGGCACGGCTTGCCTTGCCTTGCTCGCTTGCAGTGGCGTGGATCGTCGACACGGTTATCTTGCGGACCTCGCAGGTGTGCCAATTGCTTTGCCAGCAGCTCGAGTGGGCCAAAGACTTTCGAACGTTAGGATACCTTTGCTGCTTGGAGATGTATCAAAGCAAGTTTTGTGAACTTTGCACGGATCTTTGCTGTGTATCACGCAGATTCGTTTTGGGTTGGGCTGGGACGTAAAACGTGGGCGCAGGGAGAACTCCACAGTGGAATGGCGCACTGTTGCGCAGCCCTCAAGTTCATCAGAACCCGGTGTCTTTCCCCACACTGCTGCGAACTAATCGTTGCACGGCTTTCACTTCTTGAAGAGCGAAGTAATTCTTAATTGGGATCTGGGTGGGGGTCATGAATTTGTGGCCGCGGTTCCAAACAATTAGGTAGGGTTCCTGCGGCAACTCTAGAAGCTCCTCTTTAGAGATGCCTCTGCAGTAAGGGGAGGGTCTGAGCAAGGATCAAAGCTGAAAATGGCTTTGTCTTGGAGGTATATGGGGCCCAGCCCCTGGCCCCCCAAGGTTCAACCGAAACCCTGTTCCTGAACTCTGCTTTCTTTGCCTCCAAGGCGATCTGCGCCTGGGGGGGTGGTCGAATCCGTGAATCATTCTAAGGCCAATAGATCTGTTTGACTTGCAATGCAAAACAGCTCTTCCATTACGTCCCCGACGCGCCTGTTGGGTCTAGGCAGTCGCCGCGATCTTCTGCTGCTCAGTGTGGTTCTTTCCTGGTGGCCCAAAAAAAGGAATCAACTCGAATGGGGATGGCTCACGGCAAGCCAGAAGGAAACCCAACCCGCGAACTAGTCTGCAAGCAAAAGGTTCTGCAAGCGCCTCTAGAACTCCCAGACAAACTCTATGTCATGTTCATTGCGGTATTCAACACAACGTGGTCTCGTTAATTGGTATAAGGTGACTGAAAGCCAAGGTTAGCAGAACTAGCAGTTGTGTATCTAAGATAACTAGAACTAACTGTGAATAAATAATATAAGTAAAACTAGCTAAAATAACTAGAGATAACTTTTTTGGACGTCTTCACTTTTTTGCAGAAGCAACCAAATGCGGACATCGCAGCGAATTATCGCGTTTTGTATAAATTGCATGTAAAAAATGCGCAGCTGACAGTCCGTAAAATTTGCGCAGGCATGAAAACACCTGCATACTTAACGCGCCGCCGCCGAAGGGTCGCGCATCTCGCGGAAAAAGCGGCAGAGGGATTCTGTGCTCATGCTGGTCGCTTTCTCGGTGTCTTTTTTTGGCGACGGGCCTCTGAATTGTGGCCAGGTTTCAGGTGGTTTGGCCTGCTACTGCGAACTTCTGCGGCGAGTTTTTGACACGCAGGAGTCCATGCAGCCTGCGCTTCGCAAGCGTGCTAGTTGATTGGGCGGCCGGTCATTTGAATTGTTCTTTTGCATCTGTGTTTGTTGAGTACCTGCGGCGAATTCCCACGTGTTTCATTATTTTTATTACAAACCTGTTTGCGCGTGAGGTGAAGGCTCCCAGGAAAAATCTTGCTGCTGAAATTCTCGGCGTGGAAACCCTTCGTTCCAGTATCTAATATAGACATCACATGTGAAGTGAAGGCTGTCATGAAAAATCCTGCTGCTGAAATGGTCGCCGTGGAAACGCCTGAGACTCCCATGAAAAAACCGCTGCTGAATTTTTCATTCTACGCAGACACGGCTGTGAAGCGAAGGCTCGCATGACAAATTCCTGCTGCTGAAACGCCTACCGTGGAAGCCCCTGCGTGCCATTCTACAGACATCACATCTGAAGTGAAGGCTCCCATGAAAAGACTACTGCTGCTGAAATGCTCGCCGTGGAAACCTGCGTGTTCCGTTCTACAGACATGGCTGTGAAGTGAACGAAGGCTCGGGAAAAAATCCTGCTGCTGAAATGCTCGCCGTAAAGCCCGAAGGTTCCATTTTTTGTAGTGATGGCTGTGAAGTGAAGGCAAGGCTCCAATGAAAAAATCCTGCCGCTGAAATGCTCGTCGCGCAAACCCGCGCCAGTAGACGAGTCTGCAGAGCCAGCTTCTAGCTGCAGCAGCCCACTGCAGGTATGCTTACCATGAAACTTGGCGCGCAGTCGGGTTCAGCAGAAGCAGCTGCCCAAAAAGACTGGCCTGGGGAAAACTGGCTGCCCAAAGACACAAAGCTCACGTGAAGGCTTACTGGTTCCACGAGGCCTTCCAGGCAGCACATGCTGCACGAAGCCTTGTTCTGCGAAGTAGTTCATTTTGCCTTCCACCTTCCCCCTTGCGGCTGCGACAGTTTTCTTCTGGCCAGGATTTTTGTTTTTGACTCCGCTTGCAATTTTCTAGTCTCAGGATTTTTCTGCACATGGGCTGCTCTGCAGGAAGCACGCGGCACGTCGCGGCACGTTCCACGGGGACCCCAACAAATAATGCGCCTTTACATGTTCTCAAGCAACTTGGCCGCGGCACGTCCAAAAACAACGCTCCGGGCAAACGCCGCGGCACATCGCGGCATATCACGGCACGTCACGACACGCTACTGTTTTCGGCGGGGCTTCTGCAGCAAAATCCGACCGAACAAGTAAAAATGGGATTATATATGTATATATACATATATTTGAGCCAGCTGAAACACACAAGCGTCACAAAAAGGCGCGGAGAAAAGCGGCGGCGCCGCTGGGAAGCTGGGCACGCGCGCCAGCCCGCTGTACCGCAGTTTCGGCTTGGCTGAAAAAGGGATGAGATTTGGTTGGCCCGGTCTTGTGGTGCGCAAGCTCTGCTTGCTTTTCGCTGGGCATGACGGCAGCCGACGAGCGCGTGAGCAGAGACACGCGCCAAATGGCATATGTCAATCAATCGCGATATGTGTTCAACCTTCAGTTCATGCACTCATGCAACACGTGCAGTTTGCAATGTGCGCACGAGTGGTTGCGCGCGCAGCTGCGCATGAAAACGCGCAACCGATTTCAAAAACCGCATACTATTTGGGAAAGACAACACAGGTTTTGGAAAAATAACAACACATCTCGGCACACACACACTTCTGCCGCAAAGTCTGAGTGTGTTAGACCGAAGTGGCCCACAACCAGCGCACTGCGCGCCGGCGCAAACACGCACTGCGCTTGAGGCGTCACGCGCGCGTCGCACGTGCGCTGCCCAAATGTCGCACACACATTGCTCAGACCGTGCGCCGAGCCATGTTGTACATGAAAAGCGCGCGCTGCACGTGCGCCACACGCGCCCAGCACGCGCGCCGCACGCCCGCCGCGCGCACACTGCGCACGCCGTACGCTCGCCGCACGCGCGCCGTACGCGCACCGCTCGCGCACCGCACGCGCCCTGCGCACCAAATGTACGCGTCGCGCGCCGTACACGCGCCCCGCCTTACACATATGGCAGCCCCCTATCATGAAAGGCTCTTTGATGACTCTCGAGTCTAGCTGTGTTTTAACTACGACTGAAAGTGAAAAGGAAGCCGAAGACTTATTCTCGCGCGCAAGTCGAGAAAATGCGAAGAAGCAGCCATTGCTTTCGCCACATGTGCTGTGGCTTGGACTTGGGGTCTCTGACTTCGCGGCGCCTGCCAGACTTCTACGTGTTTGGGTTTTGGTTGGGCTAGGGTTTTGAGGGGGGTATGCTTGCTGCTTGAAAAACAAGCAGCCGGGAAAACGAGGGGATTTGTTGACCCCCAAGTTTGAGACAAGCCTGATCCGAAGCAAATATGGCACTGGACAGTGTAGTCAGAGTCAGAGGGTTCGAGCCTGTGACAGATAGAGCTAGAGGACTGAGATCTCTACACGGCGAGTGGATTGGGGCTGCAAGAACTTCATCTCCATGGCCGGAGAAGATCTGTCCCCGAAAACACTCCTGGACATGGGCAAGCTGGATTTCTCCTTGATGCTTGGCGGGACGTTTGCGATTGTGCTGTGTCAAGACCCGCGGTTTTTGAGAGGCATTCACTGCACGCCTTTGAAAAAGTGCAGCGTTGTTTTGCAAGCCCCGGCCTGGCCTTTGCTTGCTCTTTGGTTCAGCCAGTGTCTTTGTTTGAGACGACAAACATCCTCAACCGATATGTGGCCTGTTTGTTCCTGGGCTTTGACAAAGAGACAGCCTTGTGTGGCAGTGCCAGGGATCTACTGGCCTGACACCGCCATGTCTTGGGGCCAAGTTTCATCACGATGTTCTTGATAATTTTGGAGAGTGGGTTAGCGTTGGGAGGGTCTTTGAAACCTATGAAATTCCGTGGTTTATTGTACACAAGCTCAATTGGGAGCTCAATGGGCTTCAGTAAGAACGGAATGCAAGCGACATGGCATTGAATCCATTGGCCGGCACATTCAGGTTCAAGCGTAGTTTCGGCCTTGGTGTGGAAAGCAATCGTAGCTCACTGCTGCGCATGGGCACTTTAACCTGGCTTCAACATTGGTAGCGGGGCTTTGTCAACATTCAGTCCGTCTTTGTGATTCAGGTGCTGCAGGTTGTCACCGGCTACAGGTTCGGAGCTTTGTTTTTGTGGGCTGGCGCCGCAGGCTGTTAGGTCTGGGTGACCAATGGCAAGAGCACGAGCTCGTGGCACTCAGTACTGCGCGCAAGACGACCCCACCAAGTCTGAAGATTGGGATGATGGGCGTGAGGCATGGAGAACTGCTTCCTGGTGGTCACACTGGTTGGGTCCCATTTGGATTCAGGGCGTTTTCCTGTGAGCCGAGGAAAGCAGTGGGAGCAGAGGCGGGGAACGGGCCGAGCGGGATCTGGGTTGCTCGGCCAGGTCTGCGCCCACATCCACGAGGATGCTGGCGCAGCAAGCGCTTGACCTGTGCAACGCTTTGTCGGGGCGGGCTTCGGCCACAACGGGGTGAGCTACTTTGTGGCGGCGCATGGTCATCGAAGCCGCGAAGATCTCGCAGATGATGAACGAGCTGTTCCGCACGCGCAGGGAAAAGCCGGAGCAGACCGTGAGGTGTCTCAATGTCAAGTTTGATAGGTTGATCCGGGGCTTGCAGGAGGTGAAGTGCGACTTGGATAAGTTGAAGCTCAACGAGGGAGAAGAGTTGGCGAGCACGGGGCATTGGTTCGAAGAAAAGCTCCACCAGCAGGCCTCAGGACTGATGTGCGGCGACGGCGGTGTCGCAGGCGGCGACTTCGGCGCGGAGATCGCTGTGATTGGAGCTGCAGCACGCCTCGCGTCACTGGACACTGCTATGAGAACTTGACAGCCACACACTGACCCCAGTGAAAACATTAGTTATCCACTTTTCAAAAATTCGGGAGATCATGTTGCTTGTCATTTTTCAGCATCTGGTGATCATTCGTTCATCATTTCGCATGGGTTCTCGTCAGTTGTTCTTCGTTTTTTCTGCAAAAAGCGTTGTTGGTTGCGCTTTCTTGGTTTCTGCTCAACATGTAGCCTTTTTCCCATGCTACTATATTGCAGGTATCCGTGCAAACTGTTGGGGGATGATGGGCGGGCGATGACAAGCGACGAAAACGAAACAAATGATGATTTTCCGGGCAAAGTTGCGAAATCTGGAAAGCCAAGAAAATGCTAGCAAATCATCATTTTCATAACTTTTCATCATGTCGCAAGGGTTCGCGCCATTTGTTCATCGCACTTCTGCCAAAAAACAAAAGCGTAGTTTTGTTTGATGTGTAGGTTGCGTTGTAGCCTTTGTTGCAACGCTACTTTACTTTTTTGCAGGTATCCGTGCGAACTCCTGGAACATGGTGGACAACTGATGAAACAGATGAAGCATATCATGATTTTCCGGGTAAAGTTGCAAATTCTTAGGAAATGCTGAAAACTCAGGAAAATGCTGGCAAATCATCATTGCTTTTTACGCAAGGGTTCTCGTCATTTGTTCATCGTTTTCAGCAAACATCGGAGTTTTCCGCGATGTGTAGGTTGTGCTGCACTTTTTGCAACGCTACTATACATTTTTACTGGTATCCGTGCGAACTCCTGGAAAATGAAGAACAAATGATGAACAATGATGCAACACATGATGGTATTCCGGGCAAAGCTGCAGTTCCTTGCGAAATTCTGAAAACTCAGGAAAATGCTAGCAAATCATCATTTTCATATTTTCATCATTGCTTCATTTTTTTTCATTTGCCGCGGAGCCGTGCAGCAGATTCAATACCGTCCACCTCGCGACTCGCGCCCCGCGTATCCTCTTGGGGGAGGCAGGATTGCTATAAAGGTTCTCGTCATTTGTTCGTTTTTCTGCAGAAAGCTCTGTTGGTTGCTTTTTTGCTTTCTGTTGAAAATGTAGCCTTTCTTCCAATGCTACTATCTTGCAGGTATCCGTGCGAACTGATGAAAAATGATGGACAAATTATGAAAATGAAGCCCAAGATGATGTTGCGGGCAAAGTTGCATCTCTTCTCTTCTATTCTTTTCTCTTCTCTTCTCTCTGTCTCTGTCTCTGTCTCTGTCTTTGTCTCTCTCTCTCTCTGTCTCTCTCTCTCTCTCATCTCTCTCTCTCTCTCTCTCTCTCTCTCTCTCTCTCTCTCTTTCTTTCGTCTCTCTCTCTCTCTCTCTCTTTCCTCTCTCTCTCTCTCTGTCTCTGTCCCTGTCCCTGCCTCTGTCTCTGTCTCTGTCTCTGCCTGTGTGTCTCTCTCTCTCTCTCATCTCTTTCTCTCATCCCTCTCTCTCTTCCTTGGGAAATTCTGAAGACTCAGAAAATCCGGGCAAAGTTGCAAATCATTATTTTTCATCAACTTTCATCGTTGTTCATCATTGTTTCATGATTTTTCATCAGTTCGCAAGGATCTCGTAATATTTTTATCGTTTTGGCGCATTGCTTCACAGTTGCGCAGAAAGAAAAAAATCATGAATCCGCGAGAAATGATGAACAAAGGAAAACAATCAGGGCCAAACGAGTGCGAAGTGATGGAGATGATTAAGGGGATCATCATGGGGGACAGCGTGGATGCGATCTGGGGGAGCTTGGTGAAGGATTCATTGCAAGGGGACAACCCGGCACATCGCAGGGAGACTGCGAGGAGACTGGGGCGCCTCAAAGAGAAGCTGTGGTGCTGCGCCTGGCGCCTCCGGAAGGTGTGATCAAAAAGCGGCTAATGGACACTCCTCCCAACGTTGTGCCGACGGCCGAGAAGGTCACCACGGACGGCACGAGCCACAGGTGTGTGTTCGCTGGCATGGCGCTCTTTGTGGCATGGTGTGGATGCCGCGGAGTGGAACGCCGCCGTCTTGGTGGAAGGTGAGCGGCTTGGATGGGCGGCGAAGCAGGAGTGGGGGCGGCTGATGATAGCGATGAGGCCCTGGATGAGAAGCTGCGTGATTGGAGAATGAGAATGTGGAGAATCAACATCCACGGGAGGATCTACAGATGTGGCTGTTGAGGGACATCACCGGCACGTGGAAGGCATGATTGTGGTCTACGTTGATGATTTGTTGACGCTGGCGGAGGATGGCATGACAGAAGAGAAACATCCTCTCTGCAGCGGTTTGGTGAGGAGCCGGTGCTTCTGTGGATGGAGTTGGGGTGAGGAAGAGAGAGGACGGCATCGTGATGACACAGGAGGCCTATGCAAAGGACATTGCAGAGAGGAAGAGCAGGACAAGGTAGTGGCTCGGATGGCGGCGCAGGTCTCCAAACCCCCCTGATGGGTGAAGAAGGTTGCAGACCAGGCCTACCGCTACGTCAACGGAACAATCCACGAGGGCATCTACTTTGGCAATGGCATGAGCTATGACCTTGTCTTTGCCTAATATGTCAGCAGTTTCCTTGTGCGTTTTCTTCAGCTCCTTGAGCTCCTCATCGCGGAGCTCCTTGACGGCCTCAACCTCAGCTAGCGTGCTCACGCTACCTAGTCGCTTTGAGGTACCCAACGGCTGCCCTAAATACAGGTGTGTCAACTAATTTTGACACGCCGTCTAAAAAATCGCCCACCACCCCGCCCTCCATGTTTGATCTTTACTCTTCTCATCGTACGGGCAGACACGAGGGCAAGCCTTTACATTGTCTCACAGCAAGACTCTGTCGGTTTTGCTTGTCAGGCGGGCGGCCTTCTTAAAGCCATGTGATCTTGGAGTGGTTGCGAATTCCAGGTTTCACATGTCCACTCCAGTACAATGTTCTGTGCTAGAAACGCTGGGCAAGTGGTCTCCTGCAAGCTCTTTGTTGAGAGGGTATCGCCAGACAGGTACAGTGCCCGGTGGCCATCACACCTTTTGCCGATGGTTAAAAATTCCGAGCGGTGGACTTAAACCCTCGCTGTTGTCCTTCGTGTGATGCCAAGGCACAAAGAAGCGCCGCTTAATCCCCGCAGCAGAGCTGTCTTTCGGCACGACATTTTCTGGGCCTGCGGCCCTCTAGCCGGCTACGCCTCTTTGAAGTTATGCCATGTCATGTCATGTTTTTTGTATGAGAAACATATTCTGTGCTATGGTTGGTTAGGTTATGCATGTTGCCCACCCCAACCCCAGATGATGCAGGGGATGCCAGCTTTTTGGGCCCCAGCCGGGCCCCAACCCGGAAGGCTGACATGGGGTCGCAAGCGCGCGCGCCAGAGGCTCCAGAAAAAGAAGCTCAGAAAGAGCAGCCCGCAAGCCAGCCCGGAAACGCAAATGCAACAAAGCACCGTAAATAACAGCGTTTTGTGGCTGGGGTCGTGCGCGCGCGCGCCAGAAGGCCCGAAAACCAATGGGAAAAAAGCAAGGACCGTGCAGCACGCGAGCCAGCCACAGCAACAGCAAAACGGACAGAAGAACAACAAACCGCTCAGCGAAGCAGTCTTTGACGGTATTTACAGCGTTTTGTAGAGCGAGGGCCCAGCATCGCCGGCATGCCCGGCAGCGCTTGGCGCCAAAATGCGCGAAAATGAGCCTCGCTTATATCCCTCCGATACCTTCTAAAAAGCAGTGCTTCAT